GTGCAGGTGCCAAAAGCTTGTATAACAGTTGGTCAAAGAAAAAAAGTTACAGAATGGCAAGAGGCATGAGAAATAATCATAATCCAGGGAAAGCGAGAGAAAAGCACTATCACTTAGTTTTGTTCAGTCAAGGCTTGGTATACAAAGAACTTGAGAGTAAGGTGCTTATGTGTAGACCAGGGAGGAAGCAGACATGATGGGGGGAGGGTCTGAGGAGGGGCAAACATGGGTTGTATGAGTATTCAGGCATTTGCTCTTCCCCCAGAATAATCTCTGGGTTGACTCTTGAAAATTAGGAAAATTAGGGGTAAAGTCTCTTGCCCATTATCTTTATTTTCTCCAAGTCTCCATCTTTTTTTTTAATTGGGGTGAAATTCACATAACATACAATCGACCATTTTAAAGTGTGCAATTCAGTGGCATTTAGTGCCTTCATGATGTTGGCAACCACCATGTCTCTCTAGTTTCATCTTCTCTTTCTTTTAATTTACTGGTATTTGACTTTTGTCATTTCATCCAAATTCCTAGTCCACCAAAGCCATCATTTCTGCTGGCGCTCAGTCCCCAAAATGTCCTGTTCCGATGCAAAGAGAAAACAAAGCCTGACAGAATTTAGACTTGAAAGCAGACGAGTCAGATTCCTACCTGCAATCACACTATTCAGCCCAGCAACCAACCCAGCTGTAGTGGCTGATGCTGAGGAAGGCCGGAAGCGTGGAGATAAGGCCTTCTCCAGATACAGAGGAGGGACCTTTGTGATGCTGAGCGCTCACTCACTTGATTATCCTGGGTGGGTTCCTAACGCAGGTGGGTGCTTCACTTCTCAGCTTTGTCTGCACCACACTCACTTCTGCCCTGGGATTAGTTTCTAACCCCTTGGCTCTCTGACAGCCTCGGGCGGCAGACTGACACCCTCTTCCTTCCAAGAGAGTACTTGTCACACCTAAGACCGTGTGTCTCTTGTATATGATAATATAATTGCATATTTATTCTTCTGTTCACAATTGGCTTTAAGAACGTAAGATCGTTACTAAAAACAACACCTCACTGATGGCCCAGCAGTGGTACCATCTTTTTAAGTCCCTGCTCAGTCAACAGCAATATTTCTAGAAGCTTCTGCAGTGACCTGCAGACACAGTTAATTGTTATAGTCCTCAGCATTTTAAATACCACTTTGAAGACCAATATCACAGACTTGTGATAACTGTTCCTAATTGGTCACCTTAATTATATTGTAAGACCCTTGAGCGCAAGGCATATTTTTAATTCTAACTCAGTGCCTAGTACTTATTATACACAGTCAATAAATTCTGCAAGGAAAAAAAGTTTCTATTCTAACCTCCCTCACGCATGCTGGATTCACCCTCGATGGAACCAGTTAAGGGAACAGGACAACTTTTCCTAGCTTATTTTTGGGAACTGAAACAGAGCTGTCAGCATGATTCATTTGTGATCTCCGGGACGTAGTTGAAGTGGACAGTGCAGACCCAAGCGGCTTCCTTGGATACTGAGAGCAGAAGACAGGAATTGACCAGAATAGAGTCTATCACGCAGTTGGACCAAACCATCCTTCCCAGTTTGTGAGTCACCACTCATACTATGAAAAATCCCACATAGAAGCCGCATCACTTCTGTTCCCACTATGTTTCTAAAATTACTGCTACTAAGATCAACAGTGACTTTCTAATTGCTAAATCTGCTGGCCACTCTTCAGTCCTTATTTTCCTTTATTTTTTAGAACATTTGGACACTATAGATCATCCCCATTTTCTAGAAAAATCTCTGCTACATCAGTTAAGACTAATTCAGGTTGTAAATAATAGAAAACTTGTCTAACAGTGTCCTTAAACCACAAGAACATTTGTTTATTTAAAAAGAAGTCCAGAGGTGGGCAATTCCAGTTCACTTAGAAGCTCCATTATATGTTGTCTGCATCTTTGTTTGCCATCATATTTATGATTGCAGAATGGCAATGGTAGCTCCAGACATCGTGTCTCCATTCCTCTGGTGGCTCAAAGGATTTCTCCATGTTCTGCCTCCTATCCTTCACTTCAGACCATCATTCTCATCTGATGTTCCTAGTTGTACAGCTACTGGCTTCTACCTGAATTCTATTTTTCTTCCTGGCCTCTTGAATCCATGGCTTGTTTTGATAATTGTCCTCGCTTTCTGAATCAGTTTCTCTTAAGACACAGCCTTTGGCCAGCTTCTCCTCCTTGGCCTTAGGCACTGCAGCTCCTGAGCAAGTGACCTCTTGCCTGCAACGCTGAATCTAGGCCCTAGAGGGATATCAGACCCCAGATGAGACGTCAGTGCTTCCAGCTGGCAGTGACTACCTTTCCCTCTCTAGCTGCCCTGGCTTGTGGGAGGAAGCAGTTCACACCTCTGCCCGCTTCTCTTCATGTTCCCTGCTTGACCAAACCCTCATTGTAGTTTTCTTTCTTTTTCTTTCCCAATCCTCACCCTAGGATATATTCATTGACTTTTAGAGAGAGAAAGGGGGCAAGGGAGAAAGAAACATGGATATGAAAGCGAAACATTGATCCGTTGTCTCCGACACACACCCCAGCTGGGGATGTAACCCGCAACCTAGGTAGGTGTCTTGACTGGGAATCGAACCCATGGCCATTTTGGTGTACAGGATGATGCTCCAACCAACTGAGCCACCCAGCCAGGGCTAAACCCTCATCATAGTTTTCTAATCAGGTCCTCTCTAGACTTCACCCACTCCAGCCAGCCATCCTCCTCAGTGCCAGTTTTCCCTTTAACGCACAGCTTCCTTCACATCACCTGTCTTATTAAACCTCTAATAGCTCTTCATTGCCTTTCAAAATCTGATTCAACCTGCCTTGCTATCAATAATTCCAGATTCTGCTAATTTTATGCTGAACTATAAGCTCCTTCTGGGTATGGACCATGCCTTTTCTTCTTTGTATCTTTAATTTCTAATATAGTGCCTGGTACACAGAAGATACTCAATAGATATTTGCTGAATGGACCATTGAACTCCAGCTACATTAAACTTTGAAACTTCTTTGGCCATACCATGCTCAAATACCACCTACTCTGAAGGTGTTCCCTGACTCTGTCATTCAAGTGTTATATATGTCTCCATGCATTTTTTTTTCTACATTAGACTGGAAACTCTTTAAGGAAATGAGCTTGCCTTACTCGCCTTGCATCTGATCTAGTGTTGAGAAGAGTGCCTGGTGTAGAGCAGGCCTATAGGCAGTTTGTTGGATAGATGAATGGCAAAATGCTAGATGTGAAGATCTCCACGTAGTGCGGCAGACTGAGGAAATGACCTAAGAATAGTGAAAATAGAGATCAACAAGGATAAATAATTCGGTAGTCAGATGGTAATGCAGGGCTGAACAATTCGAAAAAAGTGTGAGTGTGTGTGTGGAGGGGGTGGAGGGGGGACAGGGTGTTCATCAATCAGGAAAGACTCCCTAGGAGTGAATTTTGAGATGCGTTTGTAAAAGAGGAAAGGGACAGAGCCTGGGCGAGTAGGAGCTGAGAAGCACATCGTGGAGCTGGGTTGAACTGAGGCGTGGTGAGCAACGAATGTGTTTGCTGCCTGCTTTTTGAGCAGGATCCGTTCTACCCCCGAACTCAAGTTCTGCCTTTTCCCTGGCTCACCACACAGGCATGCTCACCCACTATGTTTTGATGTTTCCTAGGTCAGCCCAGTGTAGGACTTTGTGTTCTCTCAGCTTCTGTGAGAATAAGCAAACAGAACTGTCCTGTTTTGCTAACCCTGGTTCTCTAGGGAAATAACTTCCCTGTTCCCAATAAAATAGAACTGCTCCCAGGGGTGCTAAGTCAGGGGAGAAAACCAAAGGTAGTATTAACCACTTTAGCACATCCTCACAAGGATTATCTTTTTGTGTGTGGGGGGAGATGGGAATCCCAAGAGGCCAAGGATGTATGAGTGAGATCTGAGGAAGCTGGCTTGACAGCATGACCTTGGCCATATCTGCGCCCTGTTCTCAAAGAGTCTGCGCAGGTTCTCAGGATGCTGGCCAGCTACTTTCTAGGGCTCAGGTCATTGCAGCCTCCAGCACTTGCGGAATGGAAAAGAGAAACAGGTTATTCTACTGTCTTCCTAAAAATGTCCCCCACTTTAGGAATCAGAACATTTTATACAGTACGAGGTAGACGTGAAGTCCTACAGAAGCTGTTGACCCTAGGAGATGGCATCTATCCTTCTGCTCGGGTAACCTAGTTCTCACGCAGGGTCCTATTTTTTTCTCTTTTTTTTTTCTCCCAGAATGTTGGGTGCCCAACACATTCCGTTTCCTGAATACCCGGCCTTACTATTTCCCGGTGGAGGCAAGAAAATTATAGTCGCTTTCGCTCACTGCATGTTTTGAGGGGCTGGTGCGGGGCACAGCTCTTCGTTCTCACCTCCTAATGCAAACACAGGTTGCCGGGGCGGCAGTGGGGGAGCCCCACGCGCGGCTCTCGGCGTACCCTTACACGGATGTCACTGTTAGAACGCAGATGGCAGCGAAACGTTAAAGCCCAAACGGAGGTCCTTCCCCACCAGCAGAGGGGCTTCCCGGGGAGGCACTGCCTGCTCGCATGCTGCTCAGTTTCTGAAGGTGTCACACTTAGGCCGTGGTGATGTCACACTGGCTGGGCTGACATTTTACCGCCGGACCCCTTGCCACCACCGAGCTCCTTTAGATCACCGCGGGGCGGGTGGGGAGGGGGGCGGGGACCCCCGCGCTCTATCCACGCTGGCTCCCACGGAGGCCCCCATGGAGGCCTACAGGCTCCCACCCGCGCCAGTGCTCTGAGGCTGACCCAACCCGCCGGCTCTCCGCACTTCCGCCTCAGTAGGTGTCATGGCGCGGGGCGGGTGAATAGCTCCTGCTGGGCGGGGCCGGCCTGAAGGGGCGGCCGCTCGGCGTTCATCTCGTCGGGTCTGGCGACAACGGCGGCTGCGGAGTGAGGGGCCCGGCGGTGGCCCGGGACGGCAGCGGGAGGCCGAGGCGGGAGCGCACGGGGCTGAGGCGGCGGCGGCCAGGGGCCGGGCGGCGGAGCGAGAGGGGGGCTGAAGGGGCTCCCCCCGCGGGACGGGCGCGGGGACGGCTCCGGGGGGCGGGGGCCGGGGCCCGGGCCGGCTCGCGCGGGGGGTATGATGACCCGGCGGCGGGGCCCCGGATCTCGTCTCCTCCGCCGCCTCCTCACGGCAGCCCCAGCTCGCGGCTGAGAACCAAACACACCGGCGGTGAGTCGAGGAGGGCGGGAAGGGTCCTGGGCCAGGAGCGACCTCCGATCCGCTCCCCGAGGGGGACCGGGCGGGCTGTGGGCTCCCCAGGACGCCGGCCTGCGGGGTGGGGAGGGGCGGGCGCCTCTCTCGGGAGCCCCCCACTTGGACTGGCCACTGTGTCCCGCGGCCCGGCCGCTTTCGATCGCGGAGGGAATTGTGTCCCCAAGAAAGCCGGCAGGCTTGGGCTCGTTTTCGGGGCAACTCCCCCTGCCTCCTGCTACTTCTTTACTGGGCGTGTTGTTGTCCTCAAATGACAGGGGGCCGCCTGGCGTCTCCTCACCCGCTGGTCTTGTCCCGGCTGTCGTGGCAGGTCCCAGTCGTAAGGCTTGTGTGTGTGTATTTCACAGCTCTGCCGATCGGCGCGGCTGTGGGTCATCTGCGCTGTTTGCGACCGGGAAGCGGAGCCGGAACGGCCGGCGGCGGGGTGGGTGTGGAAGCTTTCCTGTGCTCTCCGCTGATGGTGTTTAATCGTTAGGTTTGCCATTTGTAATGATGGGGAGGTGGCGTGAGGCCAGCCCACCGAATGTGTATCAGTGCGAGCCAGCTCTAGAGGTCTGGCTCAGAGGGAAAGTTTTGCTGTCTGTTGTCACTTTCCCAAAGCTTTCCTTTAAGGGAAAAAAAGGGCGGGGGGTGGGAAGGTGAGGAAACAACCCAAACTCGTGGGTAAGGCCCACGCTGTTCACAGGTCTGCGGGAAAAAGGCCCTTTTCGTGCCTAGCAACGAGACCCGGAGTTCGGTCGCCAGGAGCGCTGGTCTCACCCCCCGTTGGTTGTGACAGTGCGGGAGCCTGGCCTGTGTTTATGCTGGGCGCGCTTTCTTTCCTGTTTAGGTGGGGGAAGGGAGGGGGCTGGAGAAGGGAAAAAACCAGCCCTAAGTCCAGTACCTCTTGCCTCCCCTGAAACCACCGACTCAGCTGTAGATGGACCCCTTCTTTGAGGCAGTCCTAGGTGCTTGCTTTGGGAGTTTTCAGGGGTTGCATCAAAATATTCCTTTGAACTCTAGACTCCTCTGCCCAATCTGTCCTTTATCTTGTTTGTTTCCTAGTAACTCGGATGAAAACAGCAGTGTGGCTTCCTGCTCCTGATGAAGCGGGGTTAAATTAAGTGGCTGATGCCCTCAGCAAAACCTACAATTTTGCTCTTGTTTGTGTAAAGCTATTTTTGATCCTTGGTCTGCAGTTGTTTTTTCTTTTCTTTCTTTTCTTTTCTTTTTTTTTTTTAAAGATTGCAGAGGATGCAAATCATTACCAGCTTTTTTCCACATATAGGTTTGAAGCTTTCTGTAAAACATTAAAAAAATCTACTAGCGAGTCATTTAATCTAATAGTTGTTACTCAGATGGTGATTTTGGATCTTTACGTGTAATTATGTTGGGGTTCTGTGTTACATGGTATGATGCTATGATGAAGGCTATCATTGACTGGAAGATACTGTTCTTGGCTTGAAGGGTATTTTGGTAAAGTACTTGTGGTTGCAGCTGGAGGCAGCCAAGCCAGTAAAGCATCTGATGATTAAAATGGTGAATGAGATCTTGTAAATACATGGCTCTGGTTGGTAGGTAGGACTTTTGCTGATGATATTTTCATGAATAGTTTACCCTGACTTTGAACATTGTAGTTTTATGGATTGTAGAGCAAGTTGATTGATAACTTGGGATTTAAAACCAAACCAGAACTCCTTTCTAAAAGAAAAAAGATAACCTCAAAATTCACAATTCTCAGGAAAATAGAATTCTTTCATTCTGTGGTTTTGTTTTCATAAGCACAGCTCAGTGGTTGTGTTGGTAGAAATCAGTGAGCCAAACCTGCCTTGTAAACTTCTGACACTTGGAACTTTTGCAGCTTATTAGTTATACTATTATAACTGGTCCTTTTGTAATTTGAAGTAATTTATAAACATGAACTTCCTGATCTGCCCTTTTATTTTCATTTTCACAACTGTATAAAGCATCCATTAATTTTTTTTAAAGTTACAATTATTCCTCCCCAGTTTCTTCCCTTATATTTCATGCCATTCTGAATACAAGTCATCAAAATCATTTTTTTCCTTCAAGTAGCACTTCAGCCATCACTGATTTGCTTTTTGATTCCTTCTCTGTTTTGTGTTCCAAATCTCCCAGCTCCCTAAATGCCTTATGTATTTTTGTAGAGCATAATTTGGCACTTAAAGAAATTTACATCCTGTTTTTATATTTTTCTCTTTCTTGTGTGTCATATCACCAAAGCAACATTCTAAGCTCTTGGGGGATTTGGAAACGTAGGTGTGTTTCTCTTGGATTCTTTAAGAGCACCTGGTACCCTGCTTTCCCAGAGAGCTCAGTGAGAAAAACCAGAGGCCTGAATTCTTTGCTAGCCTCTCATTAACGCCATAAAACTTCTCTGGCTTTCTTGGGTCTCCTTTTTCTCATTTTGGAATTAGAGTTTTAAAAAGAGTATTGTATGATCTGTTTTAGCTTTAAAATCCCTGTACTTTTTAGCCAGTGTCTTCTGCAATAAAATGCATTTTTTATTCAGATTTTCGCTGTACTCAACAGTTTTCCATTTTTCTGCATCCCTTCACACACTGGCAGAAGTTGTCTCATTTATCTGAAAGAGTTCCTTCCACCTTCCACCTGCCAGATGGTTGTTACCTTGTTTTGGTCCTGTTTTTGTTAGAACTTTGCTGGATAGTCTGAGCAGGGTCCTCTTTTAGTGTCTGTTTCAGATTGAGCTTTGTTTTAATTTGACATTCTCCTTATTCTCTACAGATCTGTAGACTGTCCTGTGTACAAACTAAGATAGTACCTTTTTACCAAACAAAAAAAAAGCACCTACTTTCTTTTTTGTTCTGTTACTATGGTTCATCCTTCCAAATCTAAGAGAGCTATTGAAATTTAGGAAACAATATCCTGTCTGGAAGGAAGCACCCCTGAAACAGTTTACCAGGATATTACAAAATTGGTTCAAATGACTGGAAATTACATAGAATTGCAGCGTTACTCCTGTGTCAGCGACCACCACCTTTTTCACACTCTATTTTTGAATACCAGTTAGGGAACTTGCTCGTTTCACATGGTTCCATATGAAGGAAACGGTACAGGGAAGGGGGTGAAGCTTTGATTCAAATAGTGTCCTTAGGGTTTCAAGGTTATTTTTCCTTCTGTTTTACTATACCTAGAAAACCAATTACTATATCTATATCTAGATATCTATATCTATCTATCTATCTATAAATGTGTATATATATGAAATTTTTCTTGTAGACAAGAGACTATTATTTCTGTTGTATTGTGTGAATATTTCTCTAATTTAGCGAAAAACTCTGAGATCCCCTTAACGTTTACATACATAGGGAGGAGGAATGTGGTCTCTGTAGAGCCACTCATTCTAGCAGACATTTGACACTTACCATATGCCAACCATAGTGATAGATGCTGGTGATTAAAAAAAAAGGGAGGGGCGCTAAACAGCCTTCATGATACTAGCAGTTTAGAAGTCAACTTTTAAATCAATCATTACAAATAGTCCTACTTAGAATAAAATCCAGAGTGGCCCTGTCCACTAGCTCCTGTCCGCTTCTTTGGGTCCTGTTTCTGTTACTCTCTCCCTTGTTCCATTCCATCCATTTTGATTCCTTTTTCAAATAGGCTAGAACAGTGCCAGGCAGACAGACATGCTTGTTAAATGAAGAGGTGAAATACATAAGCCCGAGGATAGTATGAGGCAGTAGGGCGCGCTGTGGGAGCCTTCACTGGCAAGCCTAGCCTAGTATGAAGAGCTCCGGGGAAGGCTTTCCTGAGAATGTTTGTCAGCATAAGGCTGTCTGAACAAGATGCTAGCTGAAGGAAGTTTTTCTCTCGTGTAACCACCTGGATGTTCCAGGTTGAAGGGATCGTGCCTGGTGGGCAAGCGGCTCTGCTCTCCATGACTGCCCAGGGACCCATGTTCTTCCTGTCCTGTTGCTCCACCATCCCTTGGGCCCTGTTTCACCACGGAAGCCGCGTCTTCATGTGTTCTGCCGGTGGGGTGGAAAGGGAAAGGAGCACCAGCCGCACCCACACACTGCTTCCCATCGGAGAGAGGGACCGGGAACTGTGGTCTAGTCTGGGATGAAGAAGAGAGTAGATTTTGATGCCAACGAGCAGTCTGTGGTGCCACACTGAGAAGTCAGCTGCAGGCAGACACCGAAAGGATGAGCAGAAGTTAGCAAAAGAGGCGGCTGAGGGGACGGTGAAGTCCAGTGAGGGAAGAGGGTGGGAGAAGGCAAGACCTAGCCTACGCTCATAAGGAAACTGAATACTTCTGGGGGAGAGAGCGCCCCGGGGAAAGGCTGAATGAGAGGAGGCTACAGAGCCGATCAGGGGCCAGATCTTACAAGGCCTGCAGATGCAAACCAGAGGCTTTGGGCTTCATCGGATGGTGAAGTGGGGCAGAGAGGCATTTTGAAAAGTTTCAGTTATTAAGGTGAAGAGTGAGTTGGGAGAAGGGGAGCATAAAGAAGGGTCTTGAGAGTTTGTTGGGGGAGACAGTTTAGACTATTGATGTAAGTAGTCCAGAATCGCGCAGTGGGGGTAGGCAAAAGTGGATGGAGTGGAGAGGTAGTTGGTGTTCTGGTGAAAGAGCTTTCTTACCAAACTTGACTTGCTTAATTTTTACAGAACTTGTGTTCTTGTTTACATACTTTAATGATGTGCATGCTCTTTATATACTATGTCAGCTAAGGACAAGTGCTAGAGGAAGAAATCAATATACAGTACTGATTTTAGGTTATTTAGGTCACCACGTGTTCAATTATACCAAAGAGGCAAAGCAGACGCTAAGCAAAAGCAGTAGGAATATAGTATTGGTGTGTCAGGGAAAAGATGAAAGTTACTGCCTTGGCTGGTGTGCCTCAGTGGACTTAGCGCTGGCCTTCAAACCGAAAGGTCGTTGGTTCGATTCCCGGTCAGCGCACATATCTGGGTTGTGGGTTAGGTCCCTA